GGGGGGGGGGGGGGGAGAGAATTCCGAGCCCTGCCACTTTTTCATTCATGTTTCTGAATTTAAAATGGATCAGTTGGGTTTCTAAACGTGAAATTCTAGAACAAATACTTATGTTAGCCTTTTTCTGCTGTGTTATAAAAGGTACATCAACATGGAGAGATTCAGTTAGCTTTAAGCCTGACATTTATACTATTAGAGCAGACAGCGGCTTTTCATTCTCCTGACACTACAGACGCTTCGTCTTGTGAGGAGCGCTTGGCACATCAGGCAAGTACAATCAAGGCTTTCCAGGCATTTTTTTTCCAGCTGACTCCAGTCGAGGGGTTTATGAGCATGACACAGAGGAGCTGAATCTCATCCGGTTGAGTTTCCCGGGCTGATTTTTAGTCCCAGTCCGCCCCTGATATGAAATATTTATTTATGACAATGAAAAACTGAAACGCAGCCTGAGCTTTTCACTGACTTATTTACCTCCCAGCAGTGGTGCAGTTGGTTATTGATGGGATATAAGATCTTGTGGCGATGCAGTGGTGAGGCTTCATCACAATACAACGGGTTCAGGTTAACACAAGTGATGTATTTTACAATAAAAGCTGACCTTTCTCAATGTCTGACGCTAGACTCTTGCCGTATCTCAGTCGTTCTTGGATTTGTCAATGAGGAGGCCTATTCTTAACCTGATTGAGGAGAGATTATGGCACCATGTTGGAAATAAATCATTGGTTAAATGGCTGAGACGAGGCTGAGTTGGAAGAAGGGATAGAACAGATTGTTTCTCTTGTTTGTTTTTTGTAATATTGCTGAAAATGTATATCTCCATCATGATGTTCATTGATGACTGTAGCCTAGAGGGGTATTGGGCGCCTACCGGTCAGAGGGTGGTGGTTAGATTCCCATCCCCCGCAGTCAACATGTTGAAGTATCCTTGACCAAAAATGTTCCCGTAGGAAAGTCTAGGTAAGCTTTCTCTGACTTAGTTGTTGTTGGTTGTGGTTTATGTTAACAAAGGATCGGTCACCTTCAAACTCGACACCGCACTTCCTTTCTGCCTGCCATGACAGCTGCCCTGACATAGTTGCATACCAAAGCAAGGCTATGCTAATAAAGTATCATAGACGGAGAGCAAGGCATACACAAGATTCTGTTTGGGGTTGTAACAGTCAATCATCTCAATACATAACGCAGTGTGTACAGAACGCACTAAAAATAAATGTCACACAGATCTCAGGGGCTTGCACTCAACAACTTCCTTGAGCCCACAGCAAATAACCCGCCAAGTGTGAATTTGATCAGATCAAGTGTCAAGTTATTTGTACAAAAGATCTAGATACAGTATGTGCGTATCTACATTTGCACATGCATACGTATACACACACATTTCATCATAGTTAGAGTAAACAGACTTAATGTGATCCATATCAGTTACTAATTGTTATAGGACAAACATGAAATATTGTTTGTGTTAGACTTACTTTTTTTCCCCGCAGATTTTTATGTTCCCACGCCTATGCACCAACAAGCTGTCCCTGTCTTTTTCCGAAAGGGGAACCTGTTCGTTCTTGTTTACTGTAAACGGGGTTCTTTCATGACATAGACCAGTCAGGTAAAGTGGAGTATTAGGGGGGAAAACAAAAAAGCTGCTTATTCAACTGCAGATCAGCCAGTCCCGATTTTACCTGCTTTTTCATATTCTTAATAAATACAGAACAGTTATCATAATATATAAAAATAAATATTGAACAACTGTAATGAGCCTTAAGTATTTTGGAGAATGAAACCTGCACTGTACTGTATGCATAGCCAAGGCAAATCCTTCTGAAGTGGTGACACTGACATATTTAGATCGCCAATGTGAAGTCACCAGCATCACATACTCACGAAGATTTGATCTATTTGGAGATTGATGGGTTATCTTCAAGCTAACCATCCAGTGTAAGTCATTTGTAGTTGTGCTTGTGTGTTAATAAATGCAACCCAACTTTCAAGTGTAAGTCCTATGCTTATTATGTGTACGGTTACATACCAACTCCTTCTGATTGATACGTACTTCATGTCTGTAAAAAGATAAAGTTAATCTAAGTAAAAGCATTGTAAACCAATCAACCAGTCACCGGGAAGATTGGCAGCCTTTATTGGCCTGTACACTGCATTTAATGCTGAATCTTGTGATGCACACTTTGTAAGATTTGTTGGCAGAAAGGCTAAATCTGCATAGCACAAAACCAAGAGGATGCTTTTCTAACATCTAAAGGATCAACACAATAGCCTGTAAATGTTTAGTTTTTATTTCTATTTCTAATAAACCGAGCCAGTGGTGGCTTAAGATCCTTGACAAAAATAACAGTGTTTACTGAACATATGGGCTGATTCTAGAAAACAGCAGCAGTAAAAGTAACGCTATAGGACAAAAAAGAGGCTACACATATCATCTGAACCACAGCATTTACATTTCTGCATGTCGATTTTAACGAGCATTATGAATAATTAGATAACAACTCTTTCTGTTGCGTCCTTGCAGTCAGTGGATGCGCACAGAGTCGGCACAACCCCCCACAAGGACAGTAATGGGCCCAGTAATAAAATATGGATGAATCCAAACAAGGTTACATGCGACACATAGAGTAGCTAAGTATGATGAAAAGCATGAACAGAGGATTCAAGACACATTTACATAACATATAAAGATGTTTGTCTCGGAGTACCCTTCTCTTTCGGACTATAAGAAAAACACGTTTTTTCGTTGATAGATAGAAAAAATACTGATACTCACTGTAGATTCAATATTATCATCTTATAGGTGATATAAGTAACATGCAAGACATCCTTTAGTTGAACTGGCATCCTGTTAGAGACAACATTAGCACTCATTTGTGTTTCTGTTCATCCGAGAAACGTGAGTCAATAATTCTGTCTTTTTGCTTTTGTTTGTTCTCCACCAACTCCTGAGGGCAACAACTGGGTCTTCAGCTGCTATTTATTCAATGTTGTTAACCCGCTACAGTAGATGCTAACTTTATCTGACGGCAGTTAGGCGTGTATAGTACATTTATCTAGGGCTGCTCAATTAATCGTATTTTAATCGCAATTACGATTTTGGCTTGCAACCATTATGAAAACAACATAATCGATTTTCTTTTTTTTTCTTTTTTAATACACTTTTTTTTTTTTTTTTTTTTCAGTTGAATCATACTTAAAGTTCAGGGTAATCAACTGTTAAAAACATACTGTTCACATTTCTTTTTCAATAAATGGATGTTTTCAAAGTAAATGGATAATCGTTTTTTATAATCGTGATATCAATTATTGACCCAAATATTGAGATTATGATTGTTGCCATAATCGAGCAGCCCTACGTTTATCAAAACTGTTTTCGCCCTTATAACTGGTGCCTCTGCTGAAAACAGCACTAATGACTGCACTTGAGCCAAAACAGCAAAGGTAAAACCAAAAAATTGAACTCAAAGAAACCAAAAGGCTTTGATCGTATTACTCATAACAATATAAACCTATTGACACTACGGTGTTATATTTAGAGCAGGTTTTAGTGTATGTCGTCAAGGTTTTGTATATATGTAATAATTAGATCAAGATAAATACATGAAACCTTCTTGAGGCTTTGACTGTTTTCCCGTGGCATGTAACATGTTGTTAAAATCTAGGACAAAAAACGTTTTAAACTGACAATACCAGCCACCCCTTGAAGGAGAGTTTAATGTGTGGATGGATGGGTATAGGATGATTGTGTGCCTTTGGCTAGTTCTTCTCCAATAAACTAATGAAGCACTTGAGATAAGGGAAGCCATTCATTTGACTTAAAAGTTTTTGAATGATTGTTTGTGTTAAATTGCTTGTTTCCCATATCTCATTATCACTTTCCCCCCGTGAACATGTCGCTCATCACAATCCAGACAGACAGATATGGAGGTATTGTCAGTGGAAATAAAGAATGACACACAGTAGGATATAGCTCTGTGTTATTCAGAGTCTGATCATTTCTGCCACTCTAAGTGTAATAACGCGTCAAAGTGTCTTTGCTCCAGGACTGACTGAGAGGCAGATCCAGGCTAAAAGAGCTCAACATCACTGCAATGGTGGTAACCACACACCATACATCTTCACTTGCTTGCAGGGGCTTTGTGTGTTAGTGTGTGTATTGTGTCCTACTTACACAGCAACATTACAAAAGAATACTTCTATTTATATATAAAAAGAAGTTATATGACTATATTAGGTTGCCTTACTTTTCCTTCTGACTCTTTCTCTCATTCTCTTTTCCTCA